ACATGTTTATTTTATTTATGTTTAAGCGAGAGATAAAAATTTTATTTATATTATTTATCAGGAATTGATAGCACAAAGATCAAAGCTTTAAATGTGTTAGAAGATGTGGAATTAAGAAATGGAATCAAAGAATATTCGTATGTAATTATTTGCTTAATAATCACTGAATAGGAAACAGGAATTTATTGATTTTTTTGGAACTAATTTATTCATTTTTGGATTGTTTATGGATTAATTAATATACCAGAAATTGGCCGACTATCCCTCAGGTTTATGTAAAAGGTGAATTTGTTGGCGGGTGTGATATTGTGTTAAATATGCATCAGTCAGGTGAATTAGAAGAATTACTGGTAAAGAAAGGCTTAATTACATACGAAGAAAACCAATAGTAATAATAATTTTTTTTTAATATACTTGAACAAGTTTAGAATGATTTGGATTAGCATTCAAAAAAATAGATCTTTTAAAAAAAACGATGAATGACAAAAATGAAAAAGAATGGGAGTAAATGCTGATTAGATTTTCGTTATTTTAATTAATTCGGATGTTTCTTAATTTTATATTATTGTCGTCGTAAATGAAAAATTTGCAAATCGTAACTATTAGTATTAGTATTAGATAAAAAATTTTAAATGAAATCATGTTACACCAAAAAAATTTCATTGATGGGTTAGCAATGTTTTGAATATGAAGAAAAAGATATTTAATATTGTTGTCTCATAGTAAGAATAATATTTGAAGTGATAAAAATAGAAATCATTCCAATAGTGTAAATAAGATTATTATTATGACTGTATTAATCTTAATCTCCTATGGGATTCTCCAGACAATAATTTATCTCATGAGAGAGAAGAAAACGGATATCTATCTATGTATTTGTTTTTATTTACGTTTTTTTGATCCTTGTTTTTTTTTTAAAATGAATTTCCAAAATAAATAATTGAGAATGGAGAAATTTTTTTTTGAATCACGAGCTTAACTACGTCACACACCACCAAAACACTGCGTGTCATACAAACACAAATGATTGTGAAAAAAAATTTTAATATTTCATCGTATGTTTAATATTAATATAGGATTAGAGTAGAGTAAATAATTAATATTGATTAAATCTTTCAATTGATTGGTTGTTTAATGATTAATTAAGTAACTATATTTTAATTAACCAATAGTTGTTAATTGACCAAGTAATTTATATTTTAATATTTTAGATAACATACTTTGACCCAATAAAATATTCATCAAGAATATTATTTACATTAACAACAAATCAAAGATTTATTTTTCTATCATCCAGACACTTATCAGATAGTTTGAAAATCTTTAGATGAGAAAGGTATTTATTTTATTTTTAAAGCAAAGCCAAGATTAATCAGGTGGTTTCTTTCATGTAAAGAATGATGTTGTGCTGTTTATGAAAGGTACACCTAGTGAACCGCAGGTATGTTTCCCCACATCTTATCATTAAAGTTTATGCATGTGTTCAACGGATGGATATTTATTTTATTTGTATATTTTATTTATTTATTTATTTATTTATTTATTTTATATTATTTATTAAGAATTGATAGCACCAACGTATCGGGAATTCAGAGCGCGCAGCGTGGAGTTCTAACCAAATATGGGAACTATATTACATATTTGATTAGCACGCACTCAAACTGGTATGGGCAGGCACCAAGATCAAGGCTTTAAATGTGTTAGAAGATGTGGAATTAAGAAATGGAATCAAAGAATATTCGTAGGTAATTATTTGCTTAATAATCACTGAATAGAAAACAGGAATTTATTGATTCTTTTTAGGACAATTTTATTCATTTTGGATTGTTTATAAATTAATATACCAGAAATTGGCCAACTATCCCTCAGGTTTATGTAAAAGCTGAATTTGTTGGTGATTGTGATATTGTATTAAATATGCATCAGTCAGGTGAATTAGAAGAATTACTGGTAAAGAAAGGCTTAATTACATACGAAGAAAACCAATAGTAATAATATATTTTTGAAGGAAAGGGAATTTCAAACTAATTATATATTGAGTAATTATTTATTAAATAAATAAAGTCTAACTAATCTGTGTCTGTGTCTGCTTTTTTGGTTCAATAATTTTTGTATGATCTTACAATTGATACACGTCAAAATATATAAATTACTTGTACGAAAATTATATTGTAAAGGAATCCACAAAATAAACAAAAATGACTATTCTTTTTGTGTATGTGAAGTTGAAATCGACAATTAAACAAATTGGCTGATTTGAGTGAATTGCAAATTCACCCATATATGTATGTATGTTGTATATGCAATATACAATTTATTGTTCTAATCAATTTACAAATTTTCCAAATGAAACATTTAAAGCTTTCCTTGGTCATTTCGTTAGCTATCAACATATCAACAATGACGTTTAGTAGAGGTGGCACTGATTGAAGAAGAAGCGTCGACCTTTTGATACAACATGTGGAAATTTATGAATAATAATAATTGATTTTTTCTTTATCTCATGTGAAATCGGATGCGACATTATTGTCAATTATTAGTTCAATGAATTGAATGGATGCTTATTTTTAAAAAAATAAACCTTGTTTGAGTTGTAAGAATTCTCGTAACAATATAACTATTATTATATTGTATTGTATTATAGTAATTAACTTCTTCAAAAAGTCTCTTTTGATACTAGTAATGACAATGATATAAATTTGTAAGAAACCATTTTTTCATTTATTTATTTGTTTGTTTGTTTACTTTCAACAATGGCTGTGGGGACCGCGTTTAACAAAGAGTTTTATAATTAATAATGTGTTTATATAAAATTGAAGCTGATCATTGTTTATCTATATGACACATGCATCACTATATGATATTTATAAAAAAGGAAAAATTATTTACTAATATGAATTAATTTAAGCAATTATTCAATTGTGCCATATATACATGTTTTCTTTGAATATCACGAATTTGAGTATCCGTATTATGTTGAAAGTGTCGTTGCTTAATGACTCTATATAGTGATGTTAGCTGGCTAAGAAATTTATCAGCTTAGCTGGCTAAAAAAAATTTCTCTTAACATTCATTTTTATGCCTGGAATTTTAGTGCAGAATTCAGTGGCATAAAAATTTGGTTGAGATGGTCCACCTGCATTACTTAGAATGACAAAAAACATACATTCACTCAAAAAGTAGGGATGGGAACGGTTTAACCCAAACCGGTTCAACTGGCGGTTTGAAACCGAACCGATGCGGTTTGGTTTACTATTACGCATTTCAAACTGCGGTTTATTGAACCGGTTAAACTCCAGTTCAAATTCCGATTTTTGAAACTGAGCTGGTTACACATTACAGTCAAACCTCGTTTCAACGGATCTATGGGACTGACCGTTGAAACGAAAAGTCCATTGAAACGAGATAATGATCAACAGGATCAACACGAAAATTTTAATATAGTTGGCTCGGTCTAAAGACCTCCTAAATTTTGCGCAAATTTTAAAAGTATAGAAGTCACTTTCTCTCCTACCTTTTTAAAAAATAGCTCTATTAGTTGAT